TTCATTGAAAGTCCTCTTTGATACTGCCTCACCTCACTTGTCCAATCAGGTTGGAGTCACCTCTCTCAGCCTTTTCTCATATCACCATGTCCCCTAACTGCACACTTTCTCTGGCTCTTTTCTACCCAGCCACCCTTCCAGGACAGTGAATTTTTACCAACTCTTGAAATCTTCCTAGAGAACTCTGAACCACAACGACATGCTCTTCTTAATTTCCCACTAAGCATGCCTGTGGTACACATTTTAGGAAATTTAGTCTGTCCTAGTGTTCTTTCAAGGTTTCTTGTAAATCAGGCTCATCTCTCCACCTAGACTGAAAGCTCCCTGAGGGCAGGGACAAAGCTTACTAACGTGAATTACAGTTCACATGAGCCTTCTGTACTAACGATATGCTCACTGCAGAGTATCTTCAGACATTGGGGTGCTGATGAGCAAGCTTCTGCTCCAGTCCACTGCCATATTCAATGATCAAAGAGTTAATCTACGGAACATGCTTATTCCATTTCTGTTCTCTCAATGAGTCCAGCTGTTTTTTTAAGTAGCACCAAAAAATGTTTAAAGGCTTTTAAAATGAAAACTTCTTCTAGTCAAGCCATCTTGAAAGACTTTATGGACTACAGCACCAGGAACAGAGGAGGTTAGAGGCTGCTTCATTCAACAAACATCTGAAAGCCTATTCTGTGCACAGCATTTCAGTGCCTGACTCTCTAGCTGGATAGACAAGGTATACACAGATGAAAAGCTGACAACCATTTAAGAAATGGTACAGAGCAGTACACAATTAAGTTCCAACTGAAGGTAATAAGTGTTTTAAGAAGTCAAATGAAGGAGACAGACACATTTGGCCTTGAATGATCGCGGACTGCTTCATGAAGGAAGTGAGACCTGAGTTGAGCCATGAGAGGTGGGCAGGGAGAACAAAAAAGAGGAGGGCAATTTAAAGGGGACTTGGCTTGGAAGGAAGAGCATGTCTGACCCACTGGAATGTAAGAATAAAAATAGGCAGCAATGGAGATTTCACATAAGGGCATGATAGGATCTAAACCTGCCATCTTAGATCCATTCACTGAACGAGCACTGTGCAAGGGACCGCTTCAAAGGAAGATTACTTCCACACTGGGCGTGGGTAAGCGTTCATCACAGCACTACAGATCTAGAGTTGGAAGGGATGTCAAAGGCCATCTAATCGACCCCTTCCATATTATGGAAGAGAATACTGAGGCCCTGGGAAGTTAAGTGGCCTGTCCAGTGTCACACTTGGAGTAAATATCCCAGCTTGAATTTGGAACCAGATTGCCTGGTTCCAGAGCCATTGTGTTTTTTCCACTATAACAAATGACTTTTCTAATTTTCCCCACCTTGGCTAATTGCTTATAAATCCTGGGTTATTAAAAAACAATGTGGACAAGACTCAATCCTTATTTACGAATGGGGTCATGTGGAGTTTTTTCTATGTAAGAAAACAAAATATAATTTATTCAGTAACAAGAGACATGGAAAAATGTTTTTCTTCTGCCTGGGAAAAGTTTTTAACTTTTATTTTTTAAAAATATGGCCTGGCCCTATGATTTCATTGTTACAATGAACTTACTGATGAGGACACTCCCTTTTGCAATTCAGATAGATTAGTACTTTGCAATTTAGAGAGGTATCTAAAGCAGTGAACAGCTAGCATGCCTCCCAAGTGGTATCTGAAACCAGGACTTCCAGATTCCAAGGCCTGCTATCCACTACACATTTGCTTTTCATATTTCATTTCAGCACTAAAATGATTCAAAGGTTTTTATTCTTAGAAAGAACCTACTAGAACTGAATGATAATTAGCATTTGCAGGCGTTCGTTTGGGATTGAGCTGTGAAGAGCCTTGAATATCAATAGATTGAAGGCTGGGATGGACCTTTGAGACAGATCATCTTGTCCAACCCCCTCATTTTTCAGCTGAGAACACAGAAGCCCAGGGGGCAAAGTTACCTGTCCAAGGTCACACAGATAGTAAGCATTAGAGCAAAGCTTTGAACCCATATCCTCTGATTCTATAATCAGGGCTCTTCCCACTAACCATTCTGCTTCAAGCTGAACGAAACAATACGGTCCGGAGCAGGCCAACGGATCCAGCAAAGGCCCCTAGATGAAATACACCTCCATTCCCTCGTTCCTCCAAGTTCCACCAAATGGACAGTCATTTGGCCTAAGAAACTCATCTTAAGTTTAAAAAAACACACATACACATTTTAGGATATATTTTAGGAAGAATTAAATCTATCACCCATTTACTTCTTAGTGCAAATCATTTCAAACACATGATCAAAGTGTCTTGCTTTCCCAACACAGAGCTGAGATGGGCTACTGTGAGGAAATTTCAGTTTTCTGGGTTTGTTTTGGGAGGGAAGGGAGAGATGCAGGGGAGTTAATAATTCTGGAGCACAGGGAACTTTGGAGGGATGCAGGCCTAGGTTGAATATAAAAGTGGAAATACAGATAAAGAGATCAAAGACTCTAAGCAGCTGGGGGAAGGGGTAGAGAACAGAGGATGCAAGAAGGTACTGCGAAAAGGTTGGAGAAAGGGAGGTGGGAGGGCAGGGAAAACAAACTTCACCTACTTTGTAATTCTGCCTAGGACCCTGACAGCAACAATTGCCCCAGATGCCATTATCGCCTCTGTCACCTGCCGTAGGCTGCCAATGCCTCGTACAGAACAACATCCCTGTTTATAGGTGCAATTCGATTTAGGCAAACCCATTATAAGAAAATCTGGATTTTCAAAAAGAAAGAAATTAGGGAGGGGTATGTATGATCATTTTCTTTACAAAAGAATTCACCATCTAATGCCTTTAAATGCACAAGGAAAACTCATGACTATAAATGATATGATTTATAAAAATTTAATTTATACATAACTTTTAAGGAACATATGTATTGCCTAAAACAAAGTATACTTATATTCACACTCAAGGGTTACAAGAAATCTGAAGATGGTATTTAGCTCCCATCGCCTTAACGGTATACAATTAAACAAACTCTGGCCTGAGAGACATAGTTAAATGCTGGTAACTTGGGATACGTCTTGTCTTTGGTTTCTTTATCTGTCCAATGATGGAGCTGGATTAGATTGGCCCTGAAGTCTCACCCAGCTCCATGATTCTATTAAATTCTATTCTTTGAAAGCAAACAGATTTAACAAAACAGCATAAAGAAGCCAGACCACATAGGTAACTTAAAGCCCATATGATTTAACATATTACTACCCCTTTGGGTTCTATTTTTTGGAGAGATAAATCTTCTGAATAAAAATTACATTTGTAATAAAGTAGCTTATTAATACTGTTTTTTTTTAATTTAAGATGACAATAAACTACAATAGTCACACAGGCATTTATATTAATTATTTGGGTAGAATTAGCTAAAGCCTTGCTAATATTACTTCACTGAAGAGATTGAAGAGAAAAGTGGCTTATTTCCTTATATAATGATTTTAATATTAATGTTCCTTAGATAATCAAAAACTGCTACCACAACAGTCGTTTCCAATTAATTTTTAAAAACCACAGATACCAGAATATTTTTAACTTCTCACATTTGGGAAATTCTCAAATAGAAAAAAGAATAAAGATCACAAATTTTTCAAGGCTATACTTGAAGCACCATTATGAACTACCTATTATTTGATAGACATTTTGTATTTATGGGAAAATGAAAGATAATTTTCTTATGTAAGATGGGTGGCCATCAACAAGTAAGCAAATTCGAAAAATTTTTAAAACTCTTTATTGAATCACAAATCACACTTCTGAAAGAACATTTCATTAGCAAGAAGTTACCAGTAATTAAGTTAGCTAAGCTGATCAGCTTTGCACTTCTGGTTTTTTTATGATCCAAGATAGCTATCTGCAGCCTAGTAATATGAACTAACTGAAATGTCAGCTAATATCTGGTTGCTTTTGAATAAAAGTTTTTTCTCCATAAAATTGATTACTTTAACGTAAGGGAAAAGAAACCTGGCCAAAATGGCTGACGCTGAAATATATTTATATCACTAGCACCACTTCAGTAGCCAAACATTACCTGTGTGTGTTTGTAACCTCCAAATGTCCTTAATGCCTTTTCTTAGCAAAAACTTCCAAGAAATAAAACCTCTTTTGTGGAAACATTTTTCAAAAGCAGACACCGTCATTCCACAGGACTAACTCTTCCACCTTCTTCAGGACGTTTTATAGTGGTGTGAGCCAGTTCATGTGGCTCCAAGAAACCAACAACGTAACAGTAAGTACCAAATAATGCTTAAAACTTGCCTAGTCCCCAGGGAATGATGATCACAATCCTAACTATGCTCTTATGAAGTGGAACTTATTAGAACCAAACTGTTACAAAGAGGTATGAAACTGCAAATGCAATCTTGGGGCACATTAACTCACACAAAGGTACCAAGAAAAAAAGAAAAAGGAAACTGTATGAAACATGAGTGAAAATAACAGCCAACAAAAATGGGGGGGGGGAAGCTCTGGTTAAAACAAAATTTTAAAATATCACATAAAATAATGAGATGGGGAAAATAGACAAGTGGATGTGAGCAGGTGAATCTATACCATAGTACATGATATCCATTAAAATATTAAAACACATTTTAAATGTCAAACTGCTTATCTTGCTTTTTATCAACACAGAACCAGATGGCAGACTGCCAGCAGTTCATGTACAATTATTTATTTAAATATTTGTGTTTAGTAGAACTGATTGGCCTAGAAAATATACTTATGTGTTTAGCCTGACCAATTTACTTAGATCTATGTCAAAATGAACACTGCCTTGGTCAAATACCAAGTTATGCTTCTGTTTGGCTACCATGCTCCTGTAAAGAACCTGACATGAACATCTTAACGAACTTTTCTAAAAACAATCTGATACTCAGAAGCCTTCTGAAATGAATGAATGAACTGGCCACTAACTCACTAGTATCAGTGTACTTATGAACTATGTACAATGCTTGAAAAGGTTTACTTTACTTTTAAAAGCATCTGTTGCTCCAGGTGCATGGTTTTTATCTGGATGAAACTTCAAAGCAAGCTTTCTGTAAGCTTTCTTCAAATCCTCATCACCGGCATCCTTTGTGACTCCCAGTACTTCATAATAATTTTTACACTTGTTTATGCTGTGAACAAAAGAATGTTATATAAAATAAATGTCAGAAGAAAACTTCATGCAACTCACATGAACATTTAACTCATTAGAAAAGTATAAATAACTATTTTTGCTCCATTGCTTACCAAACACAGTGAAACCTAGGTTATGGATTGGATGCACACATTTCTCAATTTGCTCCATTGTGGTCCAAGACCATATACTATGCCCCAAATTCTGGTCAGTTATTCTGGAAATGTAGGCAGAAGAACTGAGCAAGAATAAACATTCAGTACAAGGAGAACTTTTAAGAAAAACAACTCAAAGTTCATTACATTTGTACACGAACCTGATACCACAATGAAATATTTGGGAATAAGAATATTTTGAAACTAGAATAATTAGAAGAGGGAAAATTTCTAAACACTTTGCAACTTTTGTTTAACTGTAAATTTTTAGCTAAGAATGATCAACACAGCAAAAAGTCAAGATGTAACATAAACAAATGCAAGAAATTTTAATCTTTACACAGTTTAACATCAAATGGGATAGAGGGTGGGTAGGAAGGGAGGGAAGTTTCTTCATGTAGGTAAAATTACTATTAAAATGAATTTTAGGGAATTTCTAAATTTGTTAGGGCAGATTAAAAAAGGTGGGAGGGGAGATGAGGCCAATGGTGTGGTGAAAATAAGTTATGCAAACAAAGGAACACCCCTCATACTACCAAGAATAAAACAGAACAAAATAAAACATTAAAAGACTTGGAAGAAAACATCCCCGCCCCCCCCCCCAGCTACATAGCAAATTTTCTAGTGAGGATTTATGAATTCGCCAGGGGAAAATGGCATAGGACTGATATAATGATGGAGAGACTGCTTCCAGGGATGGGGAACCTGCAGCCTTGAGACCACATGTGGCCCTCCAGGTCCTTCTAGGCCCTAGGATGCAACCTTCTGACTAAGTTCAAGTTTTACAGAACAAATCCTCTTACTAAGGGGAAAAGAATCTCTTTCCCTCCCCTTTTTTAATTGGATATTTCCTATCTCTCAATCACCACCATTTCTTCTTAAAGATTAGAGAAGATTAAGCAACCAGTTTCAAAATCTTTCAGGAGACAGGATACTAAGTTCAGGGGGAGGACCATCCATACAGCAAGAGCAAAGACAGTTCAAATAAAGTTCTACAGGAAAATGTCCAGCACGTGAAGTGGGTGTTCCACTGAGAATTTATGGGAAGGTATGGACAAAGAATCACTCAGGATGAAGTCAGGATGTGCTTTGGGAGGAAGGGTTAATGACATCAATAATCCTTTGAATTATGAAAATACTTCAAACTAGATTCAAGAGCCTGATACTGATTCCTGACAAAATTCTTGGAAAAATCATCAAAGGGGCATTTTATGAGGTAAGAAGTGCTAACCTACATAGTTTCAATAAGTCACACCAATTTGCTTTTCTAACAAGCATGCAGCTAAAAGCCACATTTGTATTTTATAATACTTGGAAATAAAACTAACTGATTTCAATTTACCAAACACTTATTAAGTACAAAGTACTACACTAAGCACCGCGGATGAAAAGACCAAAAAAAAAAAAGTCCCAGCCCTCAGAGAAGTATCTATTTTACTATGGGGGAATACATGTACAAAAGTAAGTAAACATAAATCACAGAGGACAAAAGCTTAAACTGGGGGAAATGGTGAAAGGAGGAGAGGAGTTTGGGAGAGATCAAGAAAGGCAAGGTATAGGAGGTGGCAACTCATCTAAGCATCAAAGGAAGACTGAGATTTTAAGAGGTAGCAATGAGAAAAGAATGCATTTCTGGGCAGTAGGGACTGGCTGTGCAAAAGTGCCGAGGCAAGTCCTAGAGAACTTTGCTTGGTGCACTTAGGAAACATGAAATGAGTCTGGAAAGATGGGTGAGAACCAGACTCTGGTGGTGGTGGGGTTAAATGCAAGTCTAAAGAGATCATATTTGCCCCTACAGGCAACAGGGAACCATTGAAGAATCCTGAGGAGAGGAGTGAAGTGGGCAGACTCGTGGCCTTTGGAACATTAATGTGACAAAATATGTGGAAGGAGGTACCTCATCACATTTATCAGATTGGCCAACACGGCAAAAGAGGAAAATGATAAATGTTGGAGAAGATGTTGGAAAATTGGAACACTAATGCATTGTTGGTGGAGGTGTGTAATGACACAACCAGTTTGGAGAGCAATTTGGAACTATACCCAAAGGATTATAAAAATGTGCATACCCTTTGACCCAGCAATACCACTTCTAGGGTTGTATCCCAAAGCAATCATACAAATGGCAAAAGGACCCGCATGTACAAAAATATTTCTAGCAGCTTTTTTTTTTGTGGTGGCCAAGAATTGGCAATTGACAGGATGCCCATCAATTGGGGAATGGCTGAACAAGTTGTGGTATACGAATGTAAAGGAATACTATTGTGCTATAATAAATGATGAAAGACCTGTATGGTCTGATGCTGAGTGCAGTGAGCAGAACCAGGAGAACGTTGTACCCAGTTAACGGCCACGTTCCGCAATGACTAATACTGATATACTTAATCCTTCTTAGCTATACAAGGATCTAAGACATCTCCAAAGGTGCCATGATGGAAAATGCTATCCACATCCAAAGAAAGAACTATGGAGTCTGAATGCAGATCCAAGCACACAATTTGCTATTTTTTCCTTCTGTTTTGTTTTCTCTTTCTGGTGGTTCCTCCTATTGGTTCTAATTTTTACTAACAACATCACCAATGTGAAAAGATGTTTAATAGGAATATATATGTATAGCCTATATCAGACTGCACGTAGTCTTGGGGAAGGAGGTGGGGGAGGGGGAGAAAAATTTAAAACTCAAAAGCTTGTGGAAGTGACTGCTGATGAAGCAAAATAAATTAATAAAAAAATGTGCAAGATTAAGCAGAAAGGAGAAGACGCTGGAAGGGAGGACAGCAGGGATACTGTTGCAGTTGATTCAGGCACAAGGTGATAAAGGGGAGTAAGTGGTTGTGAGAATGGAAAGAAGGGGACAGGTGATAAGAGATGATTAGAAGTAGAATTATCAGGGCTTACCATCTGATGGAATATGAGGGGAGTAAAGAAGAGGTAATCAAGGCAAAAAGATCACGGTGCACTTAAGAGAAATAAGGAAGGTTTAGAGCAGTGGTAGGTTTAGAGAGAAAGAAAGGGATCCATTCTGGGCAACTTGAGATGTCTATGAGACATCCAGCTGGAGCAATTCAACAGAAAGTTGGTAACTAGAGCTCAGGAGAGACATTTGCAGATTTGGGAGTCATTTATATACAGATCAGAATTGAAGCTGATTAGGTTAGAAGTCACCAGGAAAGAGTATACATAGAGAGAACACGAGATTCAAAAATATCTCAACAACTTAGAAAACTGGGAAGGTGACACATAAGACAGAAAAGAACACCACTGCTTCAAGCATTTAAACACCTATCAAATGTTCCGATTGGCCCCAGAGGGTATATCTAGGAACAACGGTTTTATGTGGCAAAGAGGCAAATTTAGGTTTGAGGTTGGGAATATCTTCCTAACAAATAGGAGCTTTCCAAAGTGGAATGAGCTGGCTCCTACGAGAGCAGGGTCCTCCTCACTTGAGTTCTTAAAATAAAACGGGATGACTACTTGTCAGGGGTGCAGCAGAAGGAATTTTTTTTCTACTGTGCATCAGACTACAGAACCTCTGTGATCTATTTTGGATTCTGTGATTCTAGAAAGCCCTGATGGGGATCCATGCTGAATAGGCAGAGAAGGCTGGATGATGATCCCCAGCTGAAGAGACTGAGGTGGAAAAACCTTTCCCCAGGTGCAGGCTTTTGCCTCACTCTCCCATCTTCTTTGGCCTTCACTCCTCATTTCTTTCCCACAAGAAAACCTAGGTTCTGCCGCTGGAATTACCCTGGGCTCTGATGGGGAAGCTTTTATCTTATCTTACCAGGCCCCAGGCTTCCAGACCTTTCCACCACTTACATGCCCTTTTCCTCTCTTTACTTCACCCATTAGAATGCTTGAGCACAGTTACTGTCTTGCTGGCTTCAATTCTCTCTCTAGGTTTATCCATCTGTCCAGATCTAGGTGGCTCTCCATCAGCCTTCAGGTAATTTCCCCTTCTTTCTAGGAGTTCAGTACCAGACTCACAGTCAGTCTTCTTCTCCACAACCATCCCTGCTTTTTTACTTGGGGAATTCAAATTACATGTTGATGCCCCTTCAAATATCTTTGCTTCCAAGACTGAAATCTCTAGCATCTTTATTCCACTTCTGCCAGACACACAAAGGAACAGTCATAACCTTGGCCTTATAATCATCATATATATCATCATCTACACATATATAAAATCATATGTATACATATCATCAAACATAAGCATTCCATCTCCAAAATCTAATTTTGAAGTTCTTCTACCTGATTGTGACTTTGTGTTCTTCTATCTCTCCTCCCACCCATCCTTATCACATGTCTAGTCAGGCGACCTCTCTCTGCTTTCCTAAGCCATCACCCTTGCCCTGGCCTTCTGTTCCTCCCTTCAAATACTGATCTTTTCAACTTTAAACTACCCTCTGCCCTTGAATGAATCCCCTGCCTCCCCTGTTCCATTGTTCCTTATCCCTTTCCAGACCCCAACCTGGATTACTCTCTCCACCTACCTTTTCTGCTACTCCTTACCTGTAACAGACCCCACTTGAGAAAACAAGAAGATTATCCCAACTGAGTCCACCACAAATTCATGTTATAGAATTTCAATTGGCCTCTTGTTGCGGTACAACAATCCTTTTATTCTTCCTAGATCAACTATATCATATTTCTCACATCTTCTAAACTGCCTTTTCAAAAGTTCCCCACGAGGACCTCACTTCATATTTTATTTAAAAAGAGGACATTAAGAGCAAAATGAGCAGAACCACAAGAACACTGTATACAATAATAGCAATCTTGTTTTAAGAATGACTTTGTGCAAATAAGTTATTTCATCTATTATAACTAGCCAAATTAA